ACTTTAGGTGAACTAATTTAAGATTAGACCGATTTTTTTATCAAAAATGTTTCTTACGCACACCAAGGCTGCATTTATTTGATTGCATTTATTTGAAAATACAGTTAAAGCAGTAATATTGTGAAATATTATTAGACTTTAAATTTACTATTATATGTATTCATATATAAATATATTTGTAATAAATTGTAATGTATTGTATCTGTGATGGCAAATATTAATTTTCAGCAGTGATTACTCCAGTCTTCAGAATCACATGATTCTTCAAAAATAAGTCTAATATGCTGATTTTGTGCACAAGATACAATGCGTGTGCGTGTGTGTGTGTGTGTGTGTGTGACCCTGGAGCACAAAACCAGTCATAAGTCGCACGGGTATATTTGTAGCAATAGCCAACAATTGTATGGGTCAAAATTATAATTTTCTCTTTTATGCCAAAAATCATTAGAATATTAAGTAAAGATCATATTCCATGAAGACATTTTGTAAATTTCCTACCATAAATATATCAAAACTTAATTTTTGAATAGTAATATGCATTGCTAAGAACTTCATTTGGACAACTTTAAAGGTGATTTTCTCAATATTTAGATTTTTTTTTGCACCGTCAGATTCCAGATTTTCAAATAGTTGTATCTCAGCCAAATATTGTCCTAACCATACATCAATGGAAAGCTTATTTATTCAGCTTTCAGATTATGTACACATCTCAGTTTCCAAAAATTGACCCTTATGACTGGTTTTGTGGTCCAGGGTCATATATGACATATATATATATTATAAGATGCCAAACATTAAATCATTCTATATATATTAGGGATGCACCGAATGTTCGCAACCGAAATTATTCGGCCGACAATAGCAAAAAAAGCTTTTTCGGTGTTCGGCCGAATAAGAGAAAAGACCGAATAAATTGTACCGAACAATGACGTGACGTGATCAAATAGCAACCAGCGAAGAGTGAGACGCGCACTCTTTATGATGCAGCACACATGTCAGCACAGCAGTGTGAAGCAATTAAAACTGTCTGAGAAAGATGAAAAAAATAATTACAAGTACCATCAGCGAGAGACTGTTTAGTACTGCAGAGCATGTCTTCGATGAGAAAAGGAAGGGGTGAAAATAAACTAAAATTTATTTAAAATTAAAAAGTTGAGAAAAAGCAAGAACTCTATCAACATTGTAATTTTACTGTTGTTCTGTAAAATAAAAAAAGTAAGACAATAGTTATGATAATATTAATTACAACAGCTCTGTTAATACATTTATTATAACATTCACACATAGTGTTCAAATTAGGATCTTTAATATTTTCTAATGTTTTATAAGAAGTCTCTTCTCAACAAGGCTGCTTTTAAATGTACAGTAAAAAAAAAAAAAAATCCCTGATTCAAGAAGGAGGTCTGATGGTCAAAAAATATTATTTTACTAACTTATTAATTTTAAGTTAAATTGTGCTTGGTTGGTATAATGTCTGCTAGAATGTTAAAAATGTTCAGTGTTTTGTAATTTATTTTTTTCTTTGAAAAGCAAGACAAAACCGTAAAAAGTACATTTTGGCTATTTAATTTATGCAATGGTGAAAAAAAATTGTCAAAATACATGGGGGAAAAAAAAGAAAAACCATGTTCGGTATTCGGTATTCGGCCCAGTGTTTCATTTTGTTCGGTTTCGGCTTCGGCCAAGAATTTTCATTTCGGTGCATCCCTAATATATATACAGTATATATATATATGTATATAATATATAGTGCTTTAATTTAAATTTTTTTATAATTAAATTAATTAATAAAGCTGTTTAAGAATATATAAAATTTTCCTTAACAAGAAAAAAAAATTACTCAGATTTGACACAATACTCCTAAATCATGGACATTCCACGAGAAGTGTATGTCCTTGTATGAAAGCATAAAATATTCTGAAACACACACTGATGCATTACCAAAGCAATCATGTATAGAGCATAACACACACATCACAATGCTTATGTAAACCTACAGGGGTGAAAATGTATACACGAATGGTTATTTTCTTTTACTGTCCAAGATTTACTATGTTTTACGTGTGTCTGGCAAGGACAGGGTTGCCCTTTCAAATGATGTTACCAAATTATTCACAGCCATAGCCTGACCTATTCATCACCAAGCGTACATGCCATGAACATGTGGCTGTGGAAGAATTCAATTACTCCAAATAAGCCACATCTCCTCTCATCCAGCCATTTTTGCGCTACTTACGGACTCTGATGAAATCATTCAGTGCAGTTCTGTTTGGAGTAGGTTTCCCCAAACATCAAATGCTTATGCAGCATAATGTAATCATCTCTCTGTATAAAATGCTGAATAGCACAACTTGCTGATTTATACATGTGTAGTTCAATACACTTGTCTGTTGAGCTTTGCAGACCAGTAAGCAGAATTGATGAAATGTTGGTGTAGATTGTAAGAAAGCGTTTTTGCTCTTGGCATGAGAGCGGTTTACTGCTGAGCTGGGATTCTGGATATCTAAATGAGAGCCACGCAAACATATTTTATGACCATGTTTTTAACCTACGAATCTGAAGGAAGTCATTTAAAAATTGAAGGAAACATCAAAAAGTAGTGCTGCACTTTTAAAATTTTAAAACTAAATTTCCATACTCATAAGAAGTGAGAAAGTATGATTTATCATATTGTGAACTCCATGCAGCTGTCCCTGATTAACTGTAACATGCTATGTTTTATGCACTAGAAAACTCCAATTCTTGATACACAGTGCGATTTTATAGACCATATCTCTCAGAGTGTGTGATCTTTGGAACGGTAAAATTGGCAAGAGTGGCGGCCTCATCTTCGTCTTATACCACTTACTATAAATATTATGCTAATATTGTGCTTCGCAACAGAACAAAATATGTTGTTCAAATGATATAGACACAAACATCACAACAAAGAATAGTAGAAGAGCATCACCAAAGACAACAAAAGGTATGACTTTTGTGACGACTAACACAGAGCTGTAGTGATGCTCAGTCTGGAGGAAATCAAGAGAAATTAGGGCAAGTGCTGTTTTTTACACCTCTTGAGTCACTGTTGGTTGTGGTTTTTATGTTGCACTGCACTGTATCTCAATGGTTGGGAGTATGACCTTCATCTCTGGTGACTTTAGTTATAACAGACAAATAGAAAAATAACTTTTCAAAAAGTTTACATTTTATTTTTTTTCTTGTCAGTAAGAACTAAAAGCAAATGATCTGTGAAATCACTCAAAATAGCAGTAAGGTCATGGGTTTGATTCCCAGGAAAAGCATGAACTGATAAAATGTATACATTGAAATCAATTCAATTCGCTTTGGATAAAAGCATCTATTAAGTGCATGAACACAATGTAAACACAAGTCTGGAGATGTAAAAGGAACTAACTGGAACTGTATTAAAAGGGGTTTTTGTATGATTTCTCTGTACAGTAAAACATTACAGGCATCATCACCCAGTGGCAGTTTCAGTGCAGTAGCATCTAGGTTTGTATTGAAAAATTCATTGTATAATTTGAAAAGGTAATTCAAATGTGTGTTTGACACTGGTCTAATGAGAATCTGGAGATGTGACTCACAGAGACTGGCCTTGATAAATGTCTTGCATTAAGAAAAAGCAAGTGAGACTAAATTCTCTTCATGTTATAAGATGACCACACTGACCACAAGCTATGCCCTTGATTTGAGAATATAATGGTTAAGTATTATAAATAAGCGTTGATATATGCTATAGATCTCTTATAAAACTAATAGAAAAAATGTCACCAGTTTTAACAAGCTGTAAATATAAAAAAAACCTGTTAATTGTAAGATGCTTTTCAACTACAAGTGATATCATAATAATAAAATACCAAAATTACTCATATTTACTCATAAAGTAGTTTATCAAAATATTTAAATGTTTATACTATTTTATTATTATTCATAAGCCATAAAATACTTGGATTTTTGCTATAAAATACTGCCAAATGTTTTTATTAGTAAAAACCTGTTAATTTTTTAAGTACCAAGCAGATGTTAGTTCTTGAAGTAGCTGGGTATGCAGTATTAACATTATATCAGTAAACAAAAAATAAGGTTACAAACTGTAAAATATGCAGACTCAAAAAGGCCGTATCATACTGCTGAGTATCTGGCAACCAGAGCTGTCATTTATTTATTTTTAATCAAATTTTTTTTTTTTCACTGATGGATTTGCAATAACTGTTCCATAGTGGCACACACATGTGTGTGTGTTTGCGAGCATGTTAACAATAACTGTATCAGTGTTTGTATTACAAGCATGTGTGCTCTAGGGCCACTCCCTGGACAAGTCTAAAGGGCAGAAGTGTTTGCAGAACAAATTCGCTATTAACAAGCTTTTTAATTTACCCAAAAAGAGCATAAGGAATACCCCATAGATGATCAAGTCTATGGTGAAATCTTGGCTCACTGACCCATCCCTTGCTCTGGGTTCAGAGAGGAAAAGGCACGGCTTTATCAGTAGTTAAATTAATGATCAATCCTTGAAAACTCCCTGACTCGGCAAGACTCCTCCTGGTTTAGCCGTTCTTCTCTCTTTATTCCTCATCTCAGATTCCTCCCGTCGCTGCATAATACACACGCGCGCGCGCGCGCAATCACGTTCTGCAATTGCACAGGCATCCCAAAGCTCTGACTGCCACAAAACTTGCTCCTTCCCATATAAGCCACAAACCCCTGCCACATTTCACTCACTCTGTGTGCCAAAAAGCGAACGTCTCTGTTTTGTCTGCAGGCTAGCCAAGCCCAGAGCAGAAGCAGGAAAAAGTTGAGCTCTTAAGCATCTTTCACCTCGCTCTCGGTGCCGTCTCAATCACTCTCTCCTTCTCTCTTCAGAGATTTTTAAGCACAGACAGAGGCTTTAACAGTAGCCCACATCACATATGAATATAATCAGCTATTGTGTCCCCGACAGACAGACTGATGGGGTTGATGGATAAAGCTGAGAGATGTAAATCTGCTCTTACCTGCTGTTGAAGCTTAACGCTGGGAGGAGGAACAAGAAGTAAATGGCTACGATGAATTTCATTGCTTTGTCTTGCTCTCATGCACTCGGCGTCTCTTTCCCCCTTTTTCTCTCGATCGCTCGCTTTTCCCTTCTCCCGTTCTCTCTCCCTCTCCTCGCTGGCTCGCTCACCCGTTCTCTCTCTCTCTCTCTCTTTTAGTGGTGCACACGCGCGTTAACGCAGGCACACATGCCGCGGCAGACAGATGCAACGCTGCGAGCGGTCTGTGTATGTGAAAGTGCGGGGCTCCTCAGCTTCAAATAGCAGGGACGGGGAGACGGACGGATTTATTAATGGCCAGGAACCAAGGTGCAGGGGCGGGGGGATCCAGGATCCGGGGAGGAAGACTGGAGAATGATTTGAGGTGGTGAGGTGATGTCAGCATCAATACAGCCAGTGGCTCCCTGTCTTTCTCTTCTGCGTTCCACGGCGAGATGAATACCTGCTGGTGTGTCCCACATGATATCAATCTGCCTGCGTTATTACAAGCAGCCTTGGGACGGGGCAGGGCGATTATCTGGGCTCGAGGCGTGCAGGGTTACTCCACAAAGACTAAATTAATCAATTTTCGTGGAGATGGCAAGGTTCATTAGTTTGACATTTTGTTCTCTGTTGTCCGTCAAAGTAATTGATGAGACATTTCCCTGCTCACCGTCTCATATTGTGAGATTAAGAGGGTAAACCGATCATGATAAATTGAATAGTCGTGCAGTCGCTTCGCGTTACCTTTCCGCCGTTCCGCCGCATCTGATGTCTCCATCCGGCTTCTCAAACCAGTGTTCTGGACACGAGGTTACAAAACATCAAAGGTGTAATGAAAATATTAACATCAACATCAAAACAATTTATGAAATTTACCGTTGATTAATGAGGTGCAAATTTACACTATCTATTTTCTGAATGCATGTTATGGAAAGTTGCATGTTTTCTTAAAATGTTCTCTATTCTTCTTCATTTTTAACTTCTCAAATAATTTCACCCAATAAACCCCACCCCTTTCTTACAACCTACCGCAAACTTTTCCTTTTTCGATAATCCGTTTCACTTGTATGTGGCGATTTAGAAGAAAATTATGCCGCTTCTTCCGTTAGGCCTACATTGCAACTTTATAATCCTTAAAGGGTTAGTTCACCCAAAAATGAAAATTAGCCTATTTTACTCGCCCTGGAGGCATCCTCCTAGGTGTATATGACTTTCTTCTTTTAGACGAATTCAATCAGAGTTATATTAAAAATTGCTCTGGCTATTTCAAGCTCTATCATTGCAGTGGGTGGGTGTTTCTGTTTGACAGTCCAAAACACGTTAAATAAAGCACGCGCATCCATAATAAAACGTGTCTCACACGGCTCTGAGGCATGAATAAAGGCCTCCCGTAGCAAATCCATGCGTTTTTGTAAGAAAAATATCCATATTTCAAACGTAATAAACACTTTTCTCTCATCTGTCGTATGCGGAAGCCGTTCTGGCAGATGACGTATGTGCAGCACGCGCGACCCTGAGATATGCTAGGCTGCATTCCAGTCCATTTTTTTATGCCCTTCACTGGCAAACTTCCCTTCGTCTCGTTTACTCGGAGGTACGTCATTGATTGCGTTGCATGAGTGTCCACTTCTGGCGGAACCCTTGGAATGGGCTGAACTGGAACGTCCTAAGCCCTTGATCACTTAGAATCAGCTATGGAGTTGGTTTATTGTTTACATTTTTCCCCTTATGAATTTGTTTGGTGCAGCATTCTATATGTAGCCTATATAGGTATGTTTGGGCTGTTATAAATGTTGAAAAAAAATTATAGAGTTGTTTGGGGTGGGGATACATTAAATGTGATCTGCGATGACATCATAGTTATGTTGCATTGTGGTCTACAGAGCGGCCTGAAGTGTGCATATGAAGCAGACTCGCTCCCTCTGTCAAAATCGAGGGGTCGAGGGTATGTCCATGTAAACTTCCCTCAAACGCACTTCAAAATGGCGGCGGGGATTTCCCCGAGGATAAGTGCTTAGGGAAGTTTGCCAGTGCATGTCTAAAAGTGAACTGGAATGCAGCCCTAGTCTCACAAGTTTGTTTCGGGTGTGCCTCACACGTCCTGAAAAGTGAAGCTGTGGGCTCTTTGAATGCCCCCTGGTGGCTGGCTGCAGTACAGGTCATGAACCTCACACTCTCCATGTAAACGAATGGGACTTGAGTCAAAATAAAAAAATTAATTACACTTTCAATACAATTTTCCGAAAGATTGTTTTGGTCATTTAAGGTAGTTGTTATCACGCTAATATGCTCAATTGTTCGTTTTTGTGATCAGTTTGATTTTAGCTAGTAATTTGATGCTATAAAAATGGGGCGTGTCGTTATGGTTGATTGGGTCTGCAGGAGTTTGATACCACGGCTCCACCTCACGACACTACTGCGCAGATTCTGGCTCCAAACAAATCTCTACTGCGCAGACTCTGGCTCCAAATGACGTAATTTACGGCCATACTGAGATGCTTTGGCTTCACTTTTGTATAGTGGAAGGAAGTGGAGACGCGTCGTCCATCTTTTTTTACAGTCTATGGTTTGTTTACAGGAGCAAAGGAAGCAAAGTTTCCTTACTTTAGCAAAGTAAAACCAATTTTTTCTTGGCTTATATCGAAATCCTCCGACATTTTTCTTTACAAATCCTCGATTTGAGCTTCTAATTCATGACCGCCGGCATTTTGTTTTGTTCTCTCTCCGCATTCGTCACTAATCATGAAAACGCATGGATTTGCTACAGGAGGCCTTTATTCACCCCCCAGAGCCGTGTGAGGCACGTTTTATTATGGATGCGCGCACTTAATTTGATGTGTTTTGGACTGTTGAACAGAAACACCCGCCCACTGTAATGATAACGCTTGGAATAGCCAGGACAATTTTTAATATAACTTCGATTGGATTCGTCTGAAAAAAGAAAGTCATATACACATAGGATGGCTTAAGGGTGAGTAAACAGGCTAATTTTCATTTTTGGGTGAACTAACCCTTTAATTAAAAAAAAAAAATCTTTAAAATATTTTCTCTAAAAATACTATAATTATGTTTGATTTCACCAAAAAATACATAAGAATACAGTGGTTTGTTTTAGCATCCTGACCAGCATGACACAGCAATATTGTTATCCAATGGACCAATGGATTTTGTGCTGGATCATCTCTTTGAATCCAACTGTCACTGAGCAACCCCGTGATCATGAATGTACGGTATGCACGTACACCATATCTAGCACACACACATACACTGCACGCAGCTCTAACACGGTCTATTTGCCGGCACTGATATCATGTATACACGGACCTGTATAATGCCTGTGTGTTCGAATGTATTGTGCATTATGTGTTTAAGATATGTGAGGGTGCGAAGTGCATTTTGTTCATTGTGTGTAATGGATATATGTACAATGTGTTGGGTAACATTAGCCACTACATTGTTCATTCATTTTCATTATAAATAACCACAATACACATATGTTTGACAAAGTCTTTATTTAAGATTACGTTACACAATATAACAAATATAACTTACCTGCTTGTAATACACCAGTGACCAAACCTGAATTCTTCTTCTTCTTTGAGCTTATTGGCGGTTCGCATTCCAAACCTGAATTATTTAAACCCAAATTATTTAAGCATGGTGGACACACCTTTTGAATGGGAGAAACCATGTTGGGTATGACGTCACTTTTATTTTCACACTTCAAATTATTTTCACAATGTCCTCTTCTTTGTTTTGTGTAAAATACAATGAATGTGAACTGAAGCATTAAAAATTTGCAAAAGGAGGCTAAAGCTCCATTGATGTATCGTACAAGTAATCCATGTGATTTATGTACTATATTCCACAAGCTTTATGTAAGGAATAAACTGAAATTGTAATAACTTTTTACTGATAATCCCCTTTTGTTTACGGTTAACAGCTTGATAGGATCATCAAGCTAAAAGAAACAGATACAATTGATTTACAAACTAATCATTCAGACAATGTGTGTGAACTGGATTAACTGATTCATTCAAAATATCTGACTCAAAAAATCATTTGATGTTAAACTGGACACTCTAAAACTGAACTCTTATAATTGCGCCAAAGGAGAGTTAGGGCGGATGTCAAGATTTTCCGTGAATAAGTTTTGGTTCATTTCATACACAAAGCTATCCAATGGCTTCACAACACTTAGAATATAACGCATAACTCTTTAATGATGCTTTTATGCTGCTTTTGCATCATTTTTAAGCTTGAAAGCTTCAGCACTCATTTATTGTAATTGCATGGAAAAAGAGCTTTCAAAACTTCTTTTGTGTTCTGCAGAAGAAAGCAAGTCATGCGGCATTTCCTTTTTTTAAAGGTGAACTGTCCCTTTAATATGAATACTTCATCATGTTTCTTCTGAAATGCTGTGAAATGCTCGCAAAAAGGCAACTTTTTCAATGCTTTAATATGAGGGGCAGTGCATCATGAAAACATCCAAAGCTCATTAGGAAACTGAAAAATAGAGGGTCTTTTGATAGCACCCATCCCTTTTTTACCTGTCTCTCTCGCACTATTTTTGTCTTCAAAGGGAATAAAAGATTTAGGGATAGCCATTGCTTTTAGCCATGGAAGGCTGACTGATTCAAGTTCTATGATCAGAACAGTGGAAATAGAGGAAAGATGTGTCGGCAGTAGAGGTTGTGTTATAAAAGAATGATGAATGGTTTCCATTACACCACTAATGGAGTTTAGAGTCTATTGTCCCTTAGTTCTACTCCATGCTCCTAATTCCGCACCTATTTGATTTGTGTCTAATTAGAGCATCATGGGTTGCATAGGCACTCAGGGAGTGGTCACAGATGAATGGGGTCCAGGCCCTTGGGACTGCAATAAGTATTTTTAGTAATCTGGTCTTATTTGTCTTCGTCACACCTCCGGCAGTCTGTGTCACAGTAGACAAGGTGAAGGAAAACATGTCTCCTGTCAGATTTAAGAGAAATGAAGAGTGCTTTTAGATGAACAATGAGCAAGAAAAAGAAGGATGCTCTGAATCATTTTGATGGCTTTGCACTACATCACTACACAAATAAACAAATGAATGAATACGTATTTTTGTTTTATTTTCCAGTTAATTTTTAAATTACAAACATAAAAAATAATCTGTGTTAATAAATAATATAAACTATTATATTATGTATTAATATTTTGAATTACCTTTTAGTTTTATATTTTTGGTTTCGGTCATTTTAGTTCTGGGGGGGGGGGTTTATATATTTCTTTTGATATTTTTGATTAGCTTCAATTTATTTACTTCAGTTTTAATAATTTTAGATCTGTTTCGACCTCACTCTGACCGTCACTAATGGTCTAAATAGAATGATAACCTTCGTTCTGCCTTCTCTCGAGACCTTATGAAAACAAAGTCATGCCCATGACCCCGGACGCGGAGCTTCCCGCACTGTAAAAGCAGGATGAACTTCTGGATTGTCCTCTTTACCTTTCTCGCCATAGAGACCTGGTACGGGTAAGAACCGATCTAATATTTCACCATTTAATTATTCACCCAAGTGGTGCAGGTGCCTTGTGTCCCTGTGAATT